TGCTAAAGGTTGTCTAACGTTTTGGACGACTTGCTCTAAAGTGCTACCTATGGCTGTTGAGCTAGCGTCTGTGGTCAGGAGCAATTTTGCCCCTTCCTTAGGGTGATTAACTAGAGATGCTTTAATTAACAATTCTTTTGCTTTTTTAAAACATTCTTGGCATTTTTCTGGCCAGGATTCAATATTTTTAATTTTGTTATGATTTAAATGATTAATAAATTCATGTAACGGGCTTAAGATTTCTGCGAACTGAGGTATAAATTTGTGATAAAAATTGATCATTCCGACAAACCTTTGTAATTGTTTGCAAGTTTTGGGGATTTCGTAATCTGATGACTTTAACTCGTTCATCAGATTGCAGAATTCCATCTGGAGTAATAATATGACCCAAAAAATTAACTTTAGTGACACCAAAAATACATTTTGAAGGTTTGACATTGACGCCATATTTTTCTAATCTTTGAAATAAAATGTCGAGATGATGTAAGTGATCTTCTTCGTTTTTACTAAAAATTAAAATGTCGTCTAGGTAAACGAATAAGGAATCAAGTCCCCTGGTGACTTCATTAATAAATCTTTGGAATGTGTTTCCAGCATTACGTAACCCGAAAGGAGTACGTAGAAATTCGAATGCACCAAATGGAGTAGTGATTGCTGTTTTATAAATGTCTTCCTCAGCTACGGGTATTTGATGATATGCCCTAACTAGGTCAATTTTTTAAAAAATTTTGGATCCATGAATTTTTAAGTTAACGTCTGATATCAATGTTAACGGATAACGTTCCGGTATCGTTTGTTTGGCATCCGCACTGCGGTTATCTCCAATTTAAAACATAAGGACCCCAAGGCTTTTCTAGTTGATTGCAAGGCCTTGTTTAAGAGAAAAATCCTGAACGCGCTAAAGAAGGATGAATCTGTCAAGGTTAACACAACTTTTTGTGGAGAGTTTGAGATGGTCAAGGGAGATCGTGTACTTAATGAGTAAAAGTACTTTACCACATCAAATTCTGCTGTATATCGGGATACCAATCTTGATGTATGATTCGATGAAAAAGTTATTTACCCTATCATGACTGAACTTGATGAATTTCAGGAAGATCTCGAGCGTTTGTTTATCGGACTCATCTGTCCAACTACATTATACTGAATCACGTGATTAAAGATTTACATCTCAGATGCATCATGTATTGCATGTATGCAAATTTTGTAAGTTTTTATTTTGTTTATTCTAGGAATTATTAAATAAATAGAATTGTGACAGCGGCTGGCCACACTGAACACACCGGTTCTCGCCCGATCACCGCAGTTATGCAGTTTTGGGCGCGGATCTTGCAAAGACGACTCTTTATGACTTCCATTATGGTTATGTATGAAGAAATTGAACAACGTTCGGATTCGCTATCAAAAATGGTTGTAAGTAAGTGCAAATTAATGTACATGGACACAGACAGTTTTGTATATGAATTGCTCTGTGATGATGCATACAGAGATGTAATAAAAGCAGATTTAGTGTGGACCATTACATCTTCTTGCATTGTTACCAAACATGCTATGGAAATAACACAAATTTCTTGATTTGTCGCGAATCCTATTACGATTGTAATGTGAGTGTTCTGTTCTATCGCGGCTATTTGACCTACCTCTGTAATTTTGACAATTGCATTTATTATTTTGGTAACAGTCTGATGAAAAATTATTTTGTGAAAAATTACCTTTGTCTTTTTTAAAATTATTCTTAAGAGAAGAAATCTCTTTTTCAAATTCGGCTTGTTTATCTAAAATGTTTTTGAAAATGTTTTGACATTGGTCGATAAAATTAGTTATAGTTTTGTTTAAATTCGCTACTTCATTTTGTTTATAAGAATCTTGAATTTCGAGAACAGAATTTGAATTTTTTTTAATCGTCTCCCAAATTTTATCCGCGAGTGTTAACAAGTGAGATATATCTTGTTGACTGGACGAGGTTAGGGCGATTTCAATTACGTCCGGTAACCGTCTCCTCCATAACTTAATTAATAATTTTTCATCGATCGTTTTATCGCCGGCGATTTGCATAAGTTCCCTATAAAATACGGAAGGTTTTTTGTCACCTAACTCTGAGCTTGACAATAATTTATTCAACCGTGCTTCCTCTGATAGTGTTAACCTACTGAGGATGGTATCTATTAAAAAATCATATAGATCATTAACTGGAGGTTTACTAATTACGTCGTAAACCTCGCTGAAAATATCTGGCGGTAAGTGCGCCACAGTGACATGGTATTTGCTTTTGTCAGCTTTGACGTTATAAATAAAAAATTGGCTTTCAAGCTGTTTAAACCAAAGTTCTGGTTTGGATGACCAGAAAGCTGGAAGTTTGATATTTCTTAAATTTTCTATTGAATCGATACCCTCAGCAGTAGAGTTATTTGGTTCGGACATTGTATAAGCAATAATTTAGGCAATAAATAGAAAAAGGACAAATTATATGCAATGAAATGCGAGGGACAAATCAAATGGCTCACCGATCCGATTCCTTTTAGAAACCTCCACACGATGATCCGTGAGAATTTCTCTTCCTTTGCCGTTGCTATGCTGTAGTTGTGCTCTATGTCGGTCTTGAAAGTGTTCCGCTTGAGGAAATGTCCTTCGTTCTTCGTCGGGATGTTCTTTTTCCTCTGCTGGGATGTTCCTTCGTCGGGATTGTGTTTCGTCGGGATGTCCTTTGTTCTCTGCTGGGATGTTGTTTGTCCACTGTTGGGATGTTCCTTCGTCGGGATGTTGTTTGTCCTCTGCTGGGATGTTCTTTCGTCGGGATTGTGTTTCGTCGGGATGTCCTTCGTCGGGGTCACCAATATTTAGTGGTCCCGTTGGTTGGTCCCACTAAATTTAAAACTAAAAAAAGTAATTTTTAAAAATTTTATTTAATATATATATATATATAAAAAGAATGGACACTTTCGAAATATATATCAAAAATGAAACCGATCAATGAAGTGTTTATAATGATCTGACTGCAGCATAGCAAAGGCGGTCCTTTTATACTGCGTTCAAATGATCCGCCTACTTGAGTCTTCTCTTCATCCAGAAAATCCTGTAAAGGTTTACAAAAGAAAATACATATCTTAATTAACAACGGTGACGTTATTAAAAAAGAAGAGACCAGATGGTTGTCACTCCAAAACATTGCATATAACCAAAAAGTAAAAATAATGACATAAAACGTCAAACATGAAAAAGCAACTAAAATGTCATAAACAAATCTGTTAGAAGTTCTTTGTGGGCTCGTCAAACAGGACGCGAGCACCACACACTAAAAGTACATCTCCTTTACTAAACATATTGATGAGTGACACCACACTGAACACACCGGTTCTCGTCCGATCACCGTAGTTATGCAGTGTTGGGCGCGGTTAGTACTTGGATTACACCAGACACTAAAAGTAGAGTTAAAACTGGAATTATAGTCAATTTATGTCACAAGGATACATTTTTGGAAGATTGTGTAGTTATTTTTAAAAAATCAGAATAAAAAAAATATATGTGATAGATGTTTAAATTATTTTAGTAGTCAAGATAAATTAGCTGAACATGAAAAACTTTGCTCCAGCAATCAAGCACTTAAAGATAATACTACATTTTGTGTCAAATCTGCCGATATGGTAGGATTAACGTTCTGTTCCAAGGATTTTGCCAGAGGGCAGGGGTGGATGCGTTTTAAACCCGCCGCTGAGGTGTCAGTTGATGATGTATGGGAGAAAATTTCTTCTATATATCAATCAAACTCTACCGGACTCAACACAGAAACTTTCTGTTTGGGGATTACAACTGTAAGAATACCTACAGGGAAGGGTAGAAGTAGAAATTATAATACCTTTGACGAGGAATGTAGTAAAAGACGGGGAATTATAAATATAAAAAATAAAGATAATTTATGTCTACCTCGTACTCTTTCTGTCGCCAAAGCTTACGTAGACAAAAAGAAAGCGGTAAAGATTCGCCGGGATATTGGAAAATTACAAGGGAAAAGAGCCTGTCAATTAATGACCGCCGCCGACGTCTCCAACTTAGAAATATTAAGACCTATCGAAACCAGTTAAAAGCAGAATAAAAGAAGGGAGCAGGGCTTACATCACGACCTGAGGGAGCTAGAGAACGTGTCCGTTGGGATGATTCCGATACTGCATGCATTAGGGTTCGCTGGAATGACTCCAAGTCTGCTTTTAAAGGTCGCATCCGCACTGCGGTTATCTCCAATTTAAAACATAAGGACCCCAAGGCTTTTCTAGTTGATTGCAAGGCCTTGTTTAAGAGAAAAATCCTGAACAAGCTAAAGAAGGATGAATCTGTCAAGGTTAACACAACTTTTTGTGGAGACTTTGAGATGGTCAAGGGAGATCGTGTACTTAATGAGTAAAAGTACTTTACCACATCAAATTCTGCTGTATATCGGGATACCAATCTTGATGTATGATTCGATGAAAAAGTTATTTACCCTATCATGATTGAACTTGATGAATTTCAGGAACATCTCGATCGTTTGTTTATCGGACTCATCTGTCCAACTACATTATACTGAATCACGTGATTAAAGATTTACATCTCAGATGCATCATGTATTGCATGTATGCAAGTTTTTCTTTTGTTTATTCTAGGAATTATTAAATAAATAGAATTGTGACAGCGGCTGGCCACACTGAACACACCCGTTCTCGCCCGATCACCGCAGTTATGCAGTTTTGGGCGCGGATCTTGGAAAGACGACTCTTTATGACTTCCATTATGGTTATGTATGAAGAAATTGAACAACGTTCGGATTCGCTATCAAAAATGGTTGTAAGTAAGTGCAAATTAATGTACATGGACACAGACAGTTTTGTATATGAATTGCTCTGTGATGATGCATACAGAGATGTAATAAAAGCAGATTTAGTGTTACTATTAAAAGAGAACTCGAGAACACTAGCAGTATTAAAGAAATGTAAATTAAGAAAAAGCAACTAATTACAAGTTTACTGAAAATGGGCCTAAATAAAAAAGCTGAGCTTCAAAGTAGGGTTACCCTCCCCGGCTTCACGTGGGACGCTATGCTAAAACATACTAGCCAGGAGCTGGAGATATTAACTGATGTTGACATGTTTTTGCGAGGCATTCGAGGAGGTCTCAGTCAAGTCTGTTCGAAAAGACGAGCACACGCCAACAACAAGTACATACCTAATTATGATTCCTCAAAGCCCTCCAAATACTTAATGTATTTAGATGTTAATAACCAATATGGATGGGCCATGTCGCAATATCTGCCCTATGGTGGCTTTGAATGGAGTGACACCAACATCGATATCACCCAAATACCTGACGATGCACCAGAAGGGTATATGTTGGAGGTAGATCTCGAGTATCCTGAACATCTACACGATCTTCATAAAGATCTACGGTTTTGTGCTCAACATACTAACCCAAAGACAGGTAAGCCCCGTAGAACAGCAAAGGAGCTTACCAAGTTGATGGCTACCCTTCAACCTAAAACTAAATACGTCAACGTTGAGAACGATTATAATGCATGCTTTGCATGGGCTGTTACTGCAGCATTACATCCAACATCGTATGGTAGTCACCCAAATAGGGTTTCATCTTATCCTCACTACTCATCAGTACTGAAACTAAAAGGAATTCAGTTTCCGATGACGTTAAATCAAATTCCCAATTTTCAGAAACAGAACAACATTTCAATAAATGTATATATCCTGAGACTTTGCCGTAATAGATATGTTACAGTTCCTCTTCGACTTGCTAAAGAAAAGAGTACAAGACATGTAAATCCGCTGATGATTTTACAATCAATATTATGATGAGTGACTGAGACTGATGTCCCCTAGACACACGAATAAGAAATTTAAGCCGTCTCGTTTCTTTACAAATTAACAACACAAAAAATATTTTTTGTGATCTGTTTTAAATTTGACCTCTCAAGTGGAAATTAAAAACATTAATAACATCTATTACACATATTACCGATATTTTAAAAAGGTTACTAGATAAATGAATCTCAGAAATAGTCTCTGACAATTAGAAAAAAATAAAAAGAGTATTTAGAAAAAAGAAAACGTTGACTCTTTTCGTATTAAGTTCTCATGATGTTTCTAGTTTAAATAATAAAGATAAAATTCCTCAGTCATACCAGGGGTAGATGAAAAATTAAAAAAATGTTAATAATGAAAGGGTGGAGATAAAAAAATACATACCATCATTTGCCCACAATCCTTGCACGTTGTCCAACTTCTACAAATAATCTGCAGGTGTACACACATCAAATCTATCATGTTATTCTGCACAATCCATGCACGTTATCCAGCTTCTTCTACAAATAATCTGCGGGCACATCCTTTTACTAACCCAATCGTGTGCAAGAGCTTTTTACACCCTTTCCAAACTAAAAAGAAAATAAGTAACAAATAAATAAATTTGTTTAAAAAATATCTAAAAATAAATTTGTTTAAAAATAATGAGTAACAATAAATAATTTGTTAAAAACAGACATACACCACATAACATCTTTGTTTAAATTTACAGCAATGCTTTATAAAAGTGGCTGTAAAACGTTTTTAGCAGAAGGGACACTTAAGATGTTTCAATATATGTTTCTCATGAATGTGTTTGATATAAATATTCACAAAAATTTGCAAAAATATGGTTTAACGCAATCCATAATTCGTGGTTTTATAAAAATATAGATATCAAAATTTGAAAAGCAGTCAATTGTGGTTTGATAGAAATAGTTGCAAACCCCCATGTGGCAAAATAGAAACAAAATAGTTTTAGGAAAAATATATAAGCGACTCTATATAGAATCACGATCTATTAGCAAAAAATGTCAAGTGAAACGTGTGATCGGTAGTAAGTTATAGTAAGTTATACAACCAAATAGTAATTATAATATACTATTTTCTTTTTAGCATACTAGAAATCATAGGTCCTGAGGACTTATACATGTAAGTTAGGTAAATATATGATGAATTTTGAAAATTTTTCAGTCTAGATTAGCAGATTCCTCATTTCCCACTTGTCAATTTCCATCCCTCTCCACGCCCTTTTTACCAACCTTATATCCTTTATTACCACCCCACGGTTGAGTAACGTCACAGCGTCCTCGTCGCCTCAATTCCTAAGAATAAACTCTAATAATAAGTTAACTAATTATTAGATTATATGATAGTGACGCAGCACTTACCAAAATTACTCTTCAGCAGCTACTATACATATGGCATGCATAACCGCATCGGCGTTAGTGAAGACACTAGTTGCATTTTCAGCGCGCCCCTGACAGATGTAAAAGTTTTTCACCCTCCTCAAAGAATTAGCATAGAAAAACTGGATTTGCAGTATATCACCCACATTATAATTATTGTTTAAATACACTTTCTCTATATACACTGCACCGCCGACTTTGTATTTTACATATACCGACGAACTAACTTGTGTTGGTAAATAAATTTTTGAATTTATGTCAACAGGAGGAAACACCTCTATATTATTTTAAGCAAGTATTTAAACATATTGAAGAATGGATGAATACTAATAAACTATTTTTTTTGTTCTGTAAAAAGCTGTATATAGTACCCATAATAATTATGTGCATACTTTTAACTTACTCGGTAGGACGGCGGTAACCGCCCTTTGACAACGTTAATTAGCGTGTCTGCAACCAATAAAAACAGCGTTTGAATAGAAAAAATCTAGCTATCATTATAGTAATACTTTCCCATAGTAGATAGATATAGATGTTATGGGTTTCTTCTTGTTATTAAATTTTTTAAAAACAACACTTAAACTTTTTAACACATTTATTTAATACTTGTTATAACTTAACTTTTACGGCAAAAGGCAAAGCCGGGAATTTAATGTTGAATAATAGTTTAAAGACAGCTATGGCTTGAAGACTACTAATCGCATAAAAGACACTGTGATCTCTATGAGATCCTATTTATAATATTTTATCTAGTGACGTAGCTAGAGGTTGAAACAATGTTGTCTGGGACGATTAGGGCACCTTGGAATATGCTGAGCTGTTTCCTGTTTACTGGGTTATGTGAGTCATTCTCTACGAATAGAGCCTTGTTGGGTTATGATATAACAACTCTCCCCTTTTTGAGAAAATTTATGTAATACAGCAATTTTCTAAGCCAGGACCTTGGGATGGCTAGAGTTTAATTCGAAACCTTCATCTTCTTCTATTGGATCACTTAAGTGTATTGAACGTCTTCTTCTTGCAGGAAGAAATCTTCTTAAGTTTATAATTGATGATCGATTTGGAGGCGGTGTTGGTGGATAATTCAGTATTTGAAGCTAATATACTTATTTGTCTTTGCCTTTTACGTTTCCATTTACAATAAAAATACAATAATATAAGAGATAATTATAACAATAGTAAAATAAACAAACCAAGAGATATGTTTGGTAACAAAGGGTTCATTAATTATTTTGTCCAGTTGATCAGAATATTGATCTAACTTATGCTGAGCAATGTTTAAATCATCTACATTAATCTTACTTAATTTTAACGGCTTTAGTTTAGGCAAATATTTTTTATTTGGAAAATCTTTACAACATTTATATGGAATTAAAATTGGAAATATTTTATAATTAATTTCATGTTCTGAATTAATTAGAAATTTAGAATTTACACGTGTACTTCCAATAAAAGCATTACATGTGGAATGAAGTTTTAATATTGAATTTAAATTTATAATTTGAGTAGTAACATTGCTATCTTTACAATTAACAGTGACAGGTAAAGGATCTGATAAACTAATTAAGCAAGTATTTAATTGAATTTTAAAAACATTATATTCTTTTGCAAAAATTAAAGTTATTATACAAATTCTAGGTAAATCCATCAATGGTTTTAATATTTGGGCTTCACAAATTGCATTATTATCAATTGGATAAGCATATTGATTATCACATATTTTTAGATTGAAAGAGAGTGGTTTACATTTTTCAAAATCCGAAGGGGTATATATAACATAGAATCATCATCTCTTGCAATATATTTTTGATTTTTGGCTAAAATGTGATGTAACCCAGTCCTATTGTCCAAAATGGGGATAGGATATAATTGATACACTGTAAATATTTCTGGTTCCACTAAGGGGATTGTTAAAACAAAAATTATTTTTGATTCTGTTTGGAATGCTTGTAATTTTATGATATTTAGATATTGACCTATTGATGACATTCTAATAGGTAATGGTAAATAGTTTTTCTGTAACTCTCATGAAATATCTTGAAGGGAATCTAATAAATCTGATGGTCTTATGATTGTACTATGGATTATTTCCAGTTTTGCAAAAATAATGGAATTTAGAATATCATTTATGTAGTTTTCTAAAATAAGTATAGCTTTCTAACAATTGAGCGCACAATTCTATAGTTTTCAGTTTTGCTTCTACCAATACAAATTCGTCTGTTGAATCATAAATAGATTTTTCGATACTTTTAATGTCTTCGTTAAATGTTTGTTCATCAACTTTTAATTGTTGTATTGAATTATTATTCTTTTATTACAGAGGTTGTTACTAAAATTTGATTTTTCATTAAATTTTCTATTTCATGTTCATCGTGATTAAGTTTATTAATACAATTATTAAGGTATTCTCCGTCACTGGCATCTAAATTACCTGTTATTGCTTTCCAAAAGGTTCCTACACCATTTATTAATCCTCTCTTATTACGATTATTATAATTTAAAGTGTCAGCAAAGATCTCATTATCTTTTGTATCTATTTGGTTCGATATTTTATTAAGTAAGCTAAAATGGGTTTTTATCTCAGCTTGAAAATACTTTATGCGCGGGTTTTCTTTATCTAAAAGCGAGTTTATAGAGTCTAACAGATTACGATTATATTCACTAGCACTTATTACTACTTCTAAATCTACGTTAACTAAAAGATGTCACCTGTCAACTCGGGTAACAAAGTAAGGGGTTGCGTTCTGCTCCGGCCCACTCTAGTGAAGACGGGTGTGGGTAAATTCAATATATATATTAATAAAATGTTATGTAAACCTTAGGGCGCCAACTAGATTTTCTAGTAAACTAATATGATTCATATATATCCCCCAAACCTAGTAGAAGGGATAAAAAAAGGCAAACCTTACCTTACACCTTATATTGTACAAATATTTAATAAATTTACAACGATTTCAAATGAGCCAATAAATTGAATCTAATTAAATCACACTTATAAATTAAGTCAAAAGTCAAAAGGGTTGAAAATTAACAACAAAAAAATATATAACACCTTTAAATTATGTCCATATATAAGTAGGCACCTTCCAGAACCTTACAGACAATAAAGAAAAAACAAGAGAATGTATACGTGACGTAAATAACTAATATAATTGCCGCGAACCATATATTTTTTTTTTTTTTTTTTTTTTTTTTTTTTTTTTTTTTTTGGCTTGGACTTTTGTCATTCAGCCAGTCACTTAATGAATATAAATAATATATTATAAATATCACAATACAAAATAAATGGTAAACAACCATGGCAACAAAAATAATCTATCGGAACAAAATCAATCTGTCGCAACAAAACTAATCTACCGCAACAAAACCAACCTATCACGTCAAACAAAAATTAAAAAGACAATACTTTTCAAAGGAAATAAACAAGGACACTCGTTTCTCGTCCAGGGACCCATCAGGACATTTTTTTTTCAAGACACACTAGAAATAGGCCACGGAGTGGGTAGGGTAATATAACAAAGGTAATTAGGATATATCAAAAACAAAGGTAACAAATCTACTACAATCTTATATCTGCTTTAGACAGAAATTCTATCAAACAAT